AATAAATTGAAAAATGGGTGATATAATTTTATTGTTGATTCTCTAGTATTTAATGATACATGTAAAGGTCCTAAAAAAGGTACTAGATGAAGTATTTGATTAGGGATATCTATATCATCACCATATAATCTTTTTAAAGTAATAGCTTTACGAACATAATATTGACCAGGAAAATCAGCTGGAACTGGAATGGCATACTTATTTAAATATTCTTGAAGTTCAGATAATTCAACAAATGGTGTTATAGCTTGAAGATAATCAGGTAAAGATTTCAAATCTTGGGAAACAAAATCAACAAGTTTTACAGTATCCATTTTCCTATTTTCATGTAGATTATTTTGTAAATCAATGTCATAAGTATGTATCATAAGTGAATTGATAAGTTCACTTTCAGGGAGCTTTGAACTATCTGGTATACAAAACCATTTAGAACTTTGTTCCGTATAACTAATCCCAAAACGTAAGATATAATCATATTTTAAAGCCCAGCTAAGTAATTCAGCATCCACATTATTAGGATTATGTATTGTATGAATATCATCATCGAAAGATGAAGATAAATAAGGTATTGGAGAAAGTCTTGGTGTATGAATCATAGTTGTAGCCATATGTGCAACATCAGATAAGGATGTAGTATTGGGTAATCTTTTTTGATGTATGTCGTGGTAATCATCAACCAAATATATAATAAGTGAATCAATCTTATAATTTAATAGTGCATATAAAAAAGAGATTAAATTAATAATATTGTATAAAATAATATAATAAAATTATTAATAATAATAGTACATACATTTTGTTTAAGATATTCAATTAATCTCATTTGATGAGACTCTAAATTTTTTGTTTTTTCCCTAATTGCTGTTTTATAAGTAGAAGTAATTCCTATGTTTGCCAAAGTATCTAATCCAGATGATGATGTTCCTGTATTAACCATATGTGAAGCAATTTTATTCTTTACCAAACTAAATTGTTTATTTCTTAAACCTGCTAGTTGATAACATAACATCATTATTTTTAATCTTAAACTTTTAATTGTATTGGATTTTTTTTTTGCTGGATCCATACTTTCGAATAACATATTGAAAAAACCATCAAGGTTTGGATCTTTTTCTTTAAGCATTTCTTCAAATAAATCAGGATCATTTATTGGCATTTTTTTCTCTTTGTGTTGATGATTATAAAGAACTGTAGTAAGTCTTTTAATTTGAGAATTAAAATATTTAGAAAATTCAACAATATCTACAAATAAAAATAAAAATAATTAATAATTAATCTCAAAAATTGCAATTCTAAATATCTTTAACCATCATTAATGATATGATATAAATTAACTTATTTTATAAATTATAAATCCAAAAGAATTATAAAAAAAAAAAATACCAATTAAATTGTTTGTATCAACAGGCCTTGTTATATTCTCCAATTCAGCTGATAATATTGTTATATGTTGTTGGAGTTCTTTAACATGTGCTTCTAATTCTACTAATTTTGAAGATGAAGAACTTTGTACATTTGTTTTAAATAAATTATCATCATTAGATTTTTTATTAGGTTTAATATGAGAATCATAATTGATACATCTATTATAACATATATTACAAATTAAATCATCAACACTTAAATTATTATATCCCCCAGCTTCTGCTTTATTTTTACTTGATTCTGTAATTTTTCTATACTTTGAGTTTACTCTAATTTCGTTGCAAACTACACATCTGCCGTGTAATACCATATTGGAAATGTTGGTACTAAGTAAAGTATGTCAAAATTGCGGATGCCGACGGATGCAGCTGGAATTAAATTTAAAAAACGTTAAAGAATATCTCTGTAAAGTTACAGATGTGTCACACGTCAACGTATACCCATTTTAATTGAGCACACTGTTTTTTTACTTTAAAAATTACATTACACAGCATAAAAAATTGGTGCAACATTTGAATGTCCACCATGCTTTGTTTATATATGTACAGTATACGTATATATTACTTCTTTACATGCTTATCATTCACACAATATCTATGCTTATTATAATTGTTTTAATTTTGTTATCGCCTGTAGTTTGTTTGCAAACAGAAGTAAAATGAATATAATTGTCATTAATCTTATATATAATATATGTTTTCTTGGTAATTAACAATTAACAATGTCATTTCAAGCCCGATCAAGAGAAAATTTGAGAAGTATAAAGCTTTCAACAATAATAACTTAACTTTTTTGCATCGGCTGTTCAAAAACTCTTGTGTGTAAAGTTTTCTATGTAAAGTTCTCTTTTTACTATGAAACATATGACATTTTTAATTTTTGAAGGGGTGACAGTTTTGGAATTGGAAGATTGGCAAATATCTATATGTGCAACATTGAGTTGTCCCCCCTAGATATTAACACAGATAATTTCCAAATTTGTACTAGCCAAAACTTCACTATATCAAGCGCTGACTGTAGTTATCTTACAAATACCAGTAGCAACTAGTATTGGACAGTTAAGAACTGGAACATCGCCATTGTGAACATTAAAGCAAATGACCAATAATGCAACAAGAATGCTATGCTCTGTATTAGACATATCGATTATAAACACATTTCCATCATCATATCATTGATACTTGTATCCATGACAAGGTACTTGAAGTTTTAAAAACTTATTATATGTTTCATTGATACATTTGATCCAATCTGCAAAGGCAAATTGCAATTCTTATGAGTCAAAAATTGGATGCATCTTGAAATCACTTGTGTGATGTCTACCTACTTGGTCTCATTTATTGATTCCTTTGGGAAACAAAGATGACAGACTTAATTAAACTAATTTTCTCAAACTTTTCAGAATCTGCTGCCTATTGGCGAGACATCTGAGCAAAAGAAAAATATAGACTTCTGAGTTTTACGAATGACTCTTGATATAAAAAAGTCACTAGGTTCAGCCTATCCACCTGTTTCCACCTGAATGAACTGTTCCATCCTCACTTGAATGAGTGTCACTTCTCGAAAAAGGTTGGGACATTTGAGAGAAGATGAAAAAGAATAAATATAGATTGTTGACTTTACTAATGAATCTTGATATAAAAAATGCAGAGTCCAGTAAGATATCAAGACATTTTTTGATGCATTTCTTATATCAAGAATCTTTTTATATCAAAACTGACTTAAATTGTAACTAAAACATCTAAATTATTATTATCACTGGATATAGCAAAGAAAATAGCTTATACAGTCAAACCTCCATAAATGCACCCTCCATAAATGCACACCCTCCACAAATGCATGCTATGTCTTGGTCCCAACCTCAGGACTTAGGGATAAATGCACACCCTCCATACTCTACACTGCACAGTATTTTTCAGTCCACTCATATGAAAACTCTCCATAAATTCACCCACGTGACTGATATCATGTAACTAGTATAAATTTAGAAATAATCAGCAAAATTTTTTGATTGATTGGATAATTCCAATCAGTGTTCGAAATGCGGAATCTGAGTACGCTAACCAAATATGGAAATTAACTGCAGATAATTTCTAAAATTAGATTAGCTTTATGTTGGAGCGCAGTCAAATTTCCAATATGTAATAATCCAATTGAATTTCACGACTTTGTATCACTAAATGAACTTTCGTCCTATTTGATAAAATGCAAGTTGATGAAATTTTGAATATCTCTAAAGAGAATATTGTCTGACTGTAATACTAATTCTTTTGTGCGAAATTAGCCAATCAAACATGGGAGTGGTGTTTAGGTGAACAATTCCTTTAATTGGCTATATTTTCACATCATCACAACATCATCATTATCTTTTAGACATCAAATGTCAGATAACAGTTCAAGCTCTGGCTCTATAATAAAATTTTTCATTTGACTCATAGTGGGCTTCAATAATTGATTTGCTATGGACAAAACCCTATATTTAATAATTAAATATAATTTTTGTTAATCAGTGAATCAATCAACATAAAGTAATATGTTCTGTCTTGAAGTCTATTAAATACCTTCTAAAACAGTTACATCTTGATTTACCGCTATATTAATATGGTTTGATTTTTTCAAGCTAGGATATTAATATTTTATCATTGGACAAATTTTGATTTTATCACAATTATTACTAAAATTTTAATTAAGGAAATCGACCATGTCTTGTTTAACAGCAACGCTTTTATTTATGTATTTATTTATTTTGTTTAGAAATTATCAATAAAAAAAAAGTAAATACAGAAATCGTTTTTAATTTAATCCTTTTATATCAAGGAAAAATCTATATAGTCTTTCCTAAAACCTAATTAAATAAAAATTTTTTAAAGATGTTTAAGGATTAAATATATAAATATATATAAATTAACAAAAAATACAACTTAAATTTCTTACCAAAGCTAATAAGGCCATTCTTACAAACATTCCATATCTCATTTGTCGGAAATAAGCTGCTCGTTCATCAAAATCTACTTCTGGATCAATTTCGTTTATTCTTGGAAGTGGATGCATTATAATCATTTGGAATTTACATTTTCTTAACGTAGAATTATTTATCACATAAGCATCTTTGATTTTTTCATATTCTGCAGCATCCGAAAATCGCTCACGCTGTATTCTTGTCACATAAAGTACATCTGTATCGGCAATTATATCATCCAAATCTGTATATTCGTTTTGTTGTATATTGCTAATTTTACGTATTTCATTTTTGATTTGAGTTGGCATACATAATGAATTTGGACTAACATAATTAAGTTTAACATGATATTGTGCCAATATTCGAACTAAACTATGTACTGTACGTCCGTTCTTTAAGTCACCAACTAAAGTTATTGTCAACCCATTTACAGTGCCTAATTCTTCACGTATTGTATAAACGTCGAGGAATGCCTTGATAGTTTATATGTATAAATAAATAAATAAATAAATAAATATTAAAAAAAATAGTATCAAGAAAAAAGAAAATATATTTACTGACTTGTGTAGGATGCTCGCCAGTACCATCACCAGCATTTATAATTGGGACTTGAGAATATTTTGCTGCAGTTTTAGCGCTTCCTGGTTCTGGATGTCGTAAAATTATGATGTCCCCATAAGATCCAACAGTTCTAATAGTGTCTGGAAGAGATTCACCTTTAGCAATTGATGAACTATCAGTCTTAATTGCAACCACCTTTCCACCTAATCTATACATGGCTGCTTCAAAAGAAGCAGAAGTCCTTGTAGATGGTTCATAAAATAATGTAAACATTATTCGACCTTGTAAAAGATTTATTGAACCATAACGTTCAACTAATGTACGCATTTCATTAGCAATTCCAAATAACAAATGGAGATCATTGCGGGAAAATGGTTTGGCAGAAATAATATGTCTACGCAAGAAAGTTGAATTATTTATGGTTGATATGAAATTTCTATAATTTATATTTAAAAATATAAATAAATATAAATATAATTTTTTTATATATTATTGATATCAATGAATTGATTATTCTTAAATTATAAAAACTTACGAAGGTAAAATAGAATGTGTAATATCAAGTGTAATTTCTGGCGGTGAAAATATTAATAAATTCTCTTTTGGAGAAAGTGATGATGGTGAAATCAGTTCAGAAACATTGCCGGAAGTATGATGCTGTGTTTGTGTTTGAATTCTTGTTGTTTCTTTTTTGATTAATGATTCTTTAACAACAGATGGTTTGACTTTAAGTCCAGTTGATAAAGAGGTTTTTGTGACTTTAGTAAAATCTTTATTTTTGGTTTCCAAAACATGTGGGACTATTGTAGTAGTGTTTATCAGTCCTAGTGTTGTTTGTCTTTTAGTTTTAAAGTCAATGTCTAAAATTTCAAAATCTGTTTTACGAGATATAGCCTCAATAAACAATTTAGCACATTTCACGTTGGTTATTAATGGAATGTCAAAATCTACCGCCATCCTTCGGGTAAGGTAACCTTTACTCATATAACTAGCTGGTCGACGATATTTGTTTTTGGATGGTAAGTTAATATATAGGTCTAGCAAATTGTTTGCCAAGTATTGCTGAAGTGAATATTCTGACTTTGATTCATCCTCAGATGTATCGAAAGTCTCTAAATACTTTACAGGTATTCCATGTTCTTGCATAAAATCAAAAGTACCAGAAGTTGCAAATAGATTGAATCCTATCTGATGAAGTCTTTGTACTGATGGTAAAATTTCATTTTTTTCTTTATATGAACCTATAGAAAGTAATATATTTTTTTTAGGTAATGTAAACCCTGTGGAAATCAATGCCTTAAGATATGCTTCATATTTGTCATGACCAAAACATGCAACCTCGCCAGTTGATGCCATTTCAACACCAAGGATTGGGTCTGCGCCTGATAAACGGCTAAAACTAAATTGGGGCACCTTTACAGCTACATAATTTTCTGGCAAATGGAACTCTGGGTGTGGTTCCACATTGATTCCCAACATTACTAATGTTGCCATTTCAATCAAATCAATTCCCATAACTTTTGACGCAAATGGAAATGATCTAGATGCACGAATATTACATTCTATAACTTTTATATCATTATTCTTTGCAATAAACTGTATATTAAATGGGCCTGTTACATTAAGTGCATCACTAATCATTCTTGTGGCCTCTTCAATTTTCTCTACAGTTTCTGGATCAAGATCTTGAGGTGGCAAAACAAGTGTGGCATCTCCCGAATGTACACCTGCATTTTCAACATGTTCTGAAATTACATGCATTATAACTGTTCCTTCGTGTGCAATTGCATCCACTTCGATTTCTTTTGCTTCTTCAATATACTTGGAAATTACAACAGGATGTTCTCTGGACACGGCTGTTGCTTGATTAAGATAATTTGAAAGGTCATCTGAAGAATATACTACATTCATAGCTGCACCAGATAAAACATATGAAGGCCGTACCAAAACTGGAAAACTAACATTCTTGCAAAAAATTTGCGCGTCTTCATCATTTGTCAATTCTTTCCATCCAGGTTGGTCAACTCCAATTTGATCTAACATACGAGAAAATTTATATCTATTTTCTGCACGATCAATCATTTCAGGTGAGGTTCCAAAAATTGTTACGTTTTGACGATGTAAATGAAGTGCAATATTGTTTGGAATCTGCCCTCCCATAGAAATGATAACACCGCATGAACTTTCAATCTCATAAATATCTAATACACGTTCAAAAGTAATGTTTTCAAAATATAGCCTGTCTGCTTCATCATAGTCAGTGCTGACAGTTTCCGGATTATAGTTGACCATAATTGTTTTGAAGTTGTTTTCACGGAGAGTACGAATTGCTCGTACAGCGCACCAATCAAATTCAACAGAACTACCTATACGATAAACACCAGAACCAAGTACCATGACTCCTTTTTCTTCAAAACTAATATCATTTTCGATAGCATTATAGGTAACATAAAGGTAATTTGTCTTTGCTGGAAATTCAGCAGCAACTAAAGATATTTCATTTGATTAATCATTAAGTTAATTACTATACTCAAAAAAACATACATATATCTAATAAAAATACCTGTGTCAATCTGCTTAACAAAAGGAATTATTCCATGCCCTTTTCTTAGACTTCTAATGGCAAGCTCACTACAACTAATGATGTTTGCAATCTGACGATCAGAAAATCCCAATTGTTTAGCAGTTAAAATTATATCACGTGAAATATTGGAATGATTGTAAGCTGCTAATTCTTGTTCAAATTCTGCAATATTTTTTAATTTGTGCAAAAACCATTTGTCTATCTTAGTAAATTCCCAAATTTGATCCACTGTGTAACCTTCATGCAATGCATTTGCAATTGCAAAAAGACGTAAATCAGAAGGATTTATGAGTTCCTCATCAATAGATGCAACCAAACCGTTCTTTTAAAAAATAGTATTTATTAAATGATTTGTTAATTGGTCAAGCAATAAAAAATATTTTAACAAACCTTGCTAAAACCCATAAACCCATAATCCATTGCCCTCATAGCTTTTTGTATTGTTTCTTCAAAGGTACGTCCAATGCTCATTACCTCACCAACAGATTTCATACAAGAACTTAAAGATTTGTTAACACGTGTAAATTTTTTCAAATCCCATCGAGGTATTTTAACCACCACATAATCTAAACTCGGTTCAAAACAAGCACACGTTACTTTAGTTACAGAATTATTTATTTCATTCAAAGGTATTCCTAATCCAAGTTTGGCAGCTACAAAAGCTAAAGGATAACCAGTAGCTTTTGAGGCAAGAGCTGAGGAACGTGACAGACGAGCATTCACCTCGATAATACAATATTCTTTGGAAAAAGGATTAAGTGCATATTGAATATTACACTCTCCTATAACACCAAGATGACGGATGACATTGATTGCTGTTGTACGTAACATATTGTAGTCTTCATCCGATAGAGTTTGAGATGGGGCGACCACAATTGAATCACCAGTATGAATTCCAAGTGGGTCAAAGTTCTTAATTGTTTTGTATTTAATAATTTAATTAAACTGAATATATATATATGTATATGCATCATATAAAAGGACACAAATTATGAAAAGAATGTGTCCCAATACTAATATGTTGTTTACCTCCATATTGCAAACAGTTATACAGTTATTACGACAATCTCTAACAACCTCATATTCGATTTCTTTCCAACCTTTCATTGATCTTTCAATCAATACTTGAGGAGAAGTGGCAAAAGCTTTTGCACATAATTCTGTCAATTGTTGTTTATTTTCTGCAAACCCTGATCCCAGACCCCCAAGTGCATATGCTGCACGACATATAACTGGGTATCCAATTTTCTCTGCTGCATCTAACGCACTTTGAATATTTGTTGCTGATGCAGATTCTGCACATCTTTCATTTATTTCAAGCATTTTTTGTGCAAAAAGTTCACGGTCTTCAGTAGCTATAATTGTATTTATAGGAGTTCCCAATACTTTTACTCCAAGCTCTTCAAATTTATCTTTAAGTTTAACACCAACATTTAAAGCCGTTTGACCACCAAATGTCACATAAATCCCATCGGGTCTTTCATGTTTGATAACTTTAAGAACAAAGTCAGAGTTTACTGGTAAAAAATAAACCTTATCGGCAAGAAAATTGGATGTTTGTACGGTTGCAATATTTGGATTTATTAATATAGTATATATTCCTTCTTCTTTCAAAGCTTTTATTGCCTGAAATGTTAATTTTCAAACAAGTTAATTAAGAAAGGAGTATATATAAAAAGTTTTTTAAAAGAGTTTTTTTTCTAACCTGACTTCCCGAATAATCAAATTCGCCTGCTTGCCCGATACTCAAACCACCGCTTCCTAAAACCAATACTTTCTTAACCTCAACACGAGGATTATTCATTGAATTATTTTCTTTAGTACCACCAGGCATTTTTACAGGAGACAATTTTCCTGTAAAACTTGCTTGTTTAACAGCTTCAATGAAAACATCAAAAAGATATTCGGTATCTTTTGGACCAGGATTTGATTCAGGATGAAATTGTACAGAGAAAATGGGTAATGATTTATGAATAATGCCTTCATTTGACCCATCATTTGCATTAACAAATAATTCTTGAAAATCTTCACTAAGTGTTGTTGCATCCACAGCATAACCATGATTTTGTGACGTAATATAACATCTACCAGAAATCATATCAGTACAAGGAATATTATGGCCACGATTTCCATATTTCATTTTAATAGTCTTTGCTCCAGACGCAATACTTAATAACTGATGGCCCATACAAATTCTTTGAATAATATAATTTAAATGTTTTTTGTTAATAATCATATTAATATATTTTAATCATATTAACATATAAATCAAATATTAATTCTTACCCAAATATAGGAGTTTTTGCCTCTTTCAATGCAACTTTAAGGCGTTCAATTGTTATAGTTACGATAGAAGGATCCCCAGGACCATTACTATCATAAAGGAATTTAAATTAAATATTTTATTGTTAATATTATGACCATAGGCTATTATTTAAATACTATGTAATAATTGAATGATTATTATCTTTAACCTAATAAATAGTCCATCATAGTCTTTTTCTTGTAGAAAGTCATGATTCCAAGGTACCACCTTAACCTCAACACCACGATTTATTAAACACCTTATTTGATTATATTTCTTCATTATTTTGGATTAATTAAAAAGTTAGATAAATTGACTGATAGATAACCATACCTATAAATAAATATTTTAATGAAATTATTTTCCTAGCTTACCATTCCAAGATCTATAGCAATGATACGTAAAGTTTTGGAATTAGCACCTTTGATAGCCTTTGATGGATCGGGTAAATATGTTTTTGGTTCTCTAACAGAAACTTTTAAAAAATGATTTTTTAGATTTAACAATATTATTAGATATATATGTTTAAGAACTAGTTATTTGATGTGTTTGAATGAAGAATAACCTTCTGCTACAAGATTCCTTTCATTCGGATCAGTCCAGTGAATATCTTGATAATCAGTCATCCATGGTTCAGTAGATAATGTTTGATCAACAGACAAACATCCGTTAGATTGAATGCCATCAACTGATATTCCCAATGCAGCATTACCAACTACATTTTTTGGAAATAAAATCTTTCCCAGCATTACACCTTGAGTTCTGATTTTTTTGGTGAGAGCTCGAGTATCGATTCCATAAATTGCAGGAATATCTTGGTCTTTCAGCCATTCAGATAATGAAGAATTTGCCAAATAATGGGAATATTTTTCAGAATATTGACCAACAATCAAAGCTGCTACATGTATTTCACATGATTCAAAATATTTTGGAACATCTTTGAGGAGCTGGTCCATTTCCTCAAAGGAAGGCACTCCATAGTTTCCAATAAGAGGAAATGTCAAAATCAAAATTTGTCCACGATAAGATGGATCAGTTAATGATTCAGGATATCCAACCATTCCTATGCAATATATTGGAGTTCAATGGTAACTAAGATAATCTATTATAATATAACATGTAGTAAGATCAAATAGAGCGATCATAATATTTTTTCCCTGATTTGATCATTTAAACTTTTCGAATTTGGTTTTTATCAATGTATCAATAAAAATGTGATCCACACATTTGTAATAAATCTACTATCCATATTCAAAAAAATCTATTTTAAAGAAAAAAAAGAAGCCATTTTTTTCAAATTCCTTTTTTGTAAACTCACCAGTCTGAAAAACGCACTCGCCAGCAACTGATCTGCTCTCTGAGCCAAAAGAAAATCCTTGATAAATTGTTTCGTCTTTTAAAACTAAGGTCGAAATGGTTATTTCAGCTTTGCTGGCTGCTGATGGGGGAGCAGTAACAGGTGGCAATGGCGACCGTGGCGATCGTGGCGAAGAATTAATATTCCTTAAAATTTTAATATTATTCATGTTTAATGAAAAAATTTTTCTTAATCTGTCTTAATCTAAGATTGGCCACATATACTGATTTGTAACACAATTTTTTTTATACAAAAAATTAATAATGGAATTCATTTAATTATGTATCAAAATTTCGGGAGCCATTATTCTTCTATACATTATGACTCAACAATACTTCGCGCTTTGTACTTTGGAACGGATGCATAAACAATTTATTAATGATCTGTTTTAAACATCCCTATAAAAAAATCTTGCACTGTATTAGTATGTTTTCAGCTTTACCATACTAATACAGAGAATGTACCGATTGACTGAATCTTTCGCCTTTTCGTAAGGTGGCCTAATACTAATTAAAATTAAATAAGGTCACTCACAGTAATTTTTTTCCAATCGTTAAAATCAATAACCAAGCATGCTAGAACAAAAAACTCGCTGCAGTTTTATTTGTGCTATAATAGCGCAAAGAGATTTTTGTTAAAGTTACAAAGGTTTAAAGTTCTGCGATTTTACATCATTTCTCCACAATTGTCTTCCTGATAATTCTATTTTTGTAAGCCTTAACCATGATCCATAGAAGTATAATTACGACGTTTTACAAAGTAAACCGATCACTGAAGCTTCAAACTTTGTCCATGAAATTAACTTGCTAATTCATTTTCATCATCCTGATTAGCTGTACATCATGTCAAAATGTTTTTGAAAGTGCAG